CCTTGGATGGTGTCATGCATGACCCCCTTGTGCTGTGGGTCTCAATACTTGGCTAATATTTTGGCTCTCTTTGTCACCACACGGCGGATGGGTACTCGCGTTGATGGGTCAAGTGATGTGTTGAGGTACCTGGTATGAAGCCCAAAATACCATCACTTAGGCCCAGCTTAAACCAATTTAATTAATATGGTTAAGTTGGCCTTATAAATCACTACCACTCCTTGAAAATAATCAATGTGGTATTGAGTGATTTTTTAGTGGTAAACACTACCGATTAATATGGTTACCACGATATCCAATCATTTTGAACACCCCTAATCAACGAGGCCTATGAACTTGTAATAAATTCATATATCCTGCTTTATTTATTCAATACTCTTCTCGGTACACACTCATTTTACTTTGTTGACATAATCACATTTTGTTTCTAGTTTGTGTGGAATTTCAGTTTCCCCCGACGGCAATGTGCTTTGTGAGTTTGTCATCAAAAAAAATTTCTCCAAAAAAAAAAGTTTGTCATCAATTCATCCCAAAGTATTCTCGAGTTTTCATGACTGCGTCACATACATTACGTATTACTAGTTACTACATTTGTTTGTAATCAATGAAAGCTAAATACAAAGTTCAAGCAGCATTCGGCTGCGGCGGCAAAATCTGAAACCTACAGACAGGACAAGTCTCGCTGCCGACCTTCAACCAGTGACGGATGCAGTCTCCGTGGAAAATATGACCGCACGGCGTCCTCTTGGGCCTGGCTTCTTCTTCGTGGGCCTCCCCGCCAGGCCCGCCACAGATCTCGTCCAAACAAACGCAACACTCCAGGCCTTCTTCCCAAGCGGCCCCAACCTCCGTCAACGACTTGTCAATCGCCGCTTCTCGAGCCCTCGTCAGCCTCAGTTGTAGATCCCGCAGCTCGTCCTCCGTCACCATCACAATATTCATCAGCTCTCCCCCGTCGTCAAAGTAGATTTCCAACCTCGACATCTCTTCTTCTTCTTCTTCCATGCCATCCCATTCGCTGTCGCTATCCGGGAACGCCGTGACACCGTCGTTGCCGGGAGGTTCCAGAATGACCGGCGTCAGGTGACGGCGTAAGTGCTCATCGTACAATGACGTAAGCATACCTCGGCGCTCCACGTCCTGGGTTGCTTCGGAACCCCCAAGCAACCTCAGAAATTCCGCAACGGTAGACATATCGACAGAGTAAACCCGATTTCGCTCTGATTTTTCTTTCCGATTCGAATTACTTCATCCGACTTTCCTAATTACCGGTTTTATTTATAGCAGCGATACATCAGCCAACGTTGGGAATGGATCAGGTCAGTAACCTTATGGTGAGTAACCATGAGTAACCCATCCACGTCAGCATGACATCAGCATCCTCTCTCTTATGGAAAGCCTTTAATTTTTCCCTCTTTAATCTTTGACGGACGATTTCTCGCTCATTTTAAGTCGAAATTTAATTTTTTTTGCACAGTTAGATCAGATTAATTGTGCTCTTCAAAATGATATCCACTTTACTATATTTTTCGAACAAAAAAAATTGAGCCATTTTTTACCAGCCTATACCATATGGTATTGACTGGTATTGAAATAAAAACATACCTATGTTTTGAAAAACGTACCATGGTGGTATGAACAAACCAATACTGTAGGATGGTTGAATACATGATAGTAGAAGTATATTAATTGTAATTTACGACTTTTAACATTGTATACCACACAATACCACCCCGTACCAGGGTGGTATTGTATGGTATTGTGTGGTATTTTTTAGTCCTGTAATTTGTTCACCCAGAAATTTGTAGATCTAATAGATCATGATGAACTCGTCCCTTCTGTGCAAACGTTTTCAAAAACGAAGAAGATACCATACAATACCACCCCGTACCAGGGTGGTATTGTATGGTATTGTGTGGTATTTTTTGGTCCTGTAATTTGTTCACCCAGAAATTTGTAGATCCAGTAGATCATGATGAACTCATCCCTGCTGTGCAAACGTTTTCAAAAACGAATTAAAAACGAAGAAGATACCATATGGTATGCAGTTGGTACCGAGAGGCCAGAATTTTTTCTTCCTAAAAAAATATTGAAAATTGATCTCATTTTGTAGAACACGTTGAACTCGTTTCATCTGTGCAAAAAAAAAAAAATCCGAGTTAAAACGAAAAAGATATGAGTCAATTAAGAAAACTAGTGAAAATAAAAATAGCCTTTAATTCTCCATCCTTAGATCTGGATTTTCTAAATGAAGGGTCCAGATTTGGTTATTGATGGGTGCATAACCCATGGTTATGCACCCTATCTTGAGCCATCAACGTTTACCAATTTCTAATCCGAAAAGGAAAATCAGTTTCCCAACTGGTTAAGGAATTTGTATAAAAAAGCGGAAATCCTTGATCGATTAGGAGACGGAAACAGAGTCCCCTGTTTTATATAGGCAGCAGAGACATGTCAGTAATGAATAGGGACCATAGATCTAAGAGGCATGCAATCGTGTGGTTGGACCGGACGCTGTGTAGGGAAGGATATTTTTGTCCGTTTATACATTAAAATTTTTATTTTATTTTATTTTATTTCGTATTTAATGACTGCACTTTTAAAGAAGTAAAGAGAAATCACTTCTCTGCAACTTTCTATCTTCCTTCTCTCTTCCTTTTTCTCTCCCAATCTCTTTTCCAGATCTTCTCTCTTTCTCTCTTCCTTTTTCTCTCTCAATCTCATTTCTAGATCTAAATCTGCTTCTTTCTCTTCTTCTTTATTTTTTTTACACGACGAATAAAAATTGGAGCCACTCTTTTTCATTGCATTTCTTCTCTTCATCATCTCGTTGGCCTCAATTTCGATCTTTCTCATTTTTTCGGCATTTTGGTGTTCTTGATTGCGGAAGAGGAAATGAGAGGCGACACAAGACGATTTTTCTCTACCTCCTTCTGTTTTTTTTTCTTTTAGATAATATATATTGATATTATAACTCTATACCATATGGTATTCGGTGGTAACGAAATATATATTGATATTACAACACTATACCATATGGTAATGTATGGTATTGTGTGGTAACGAATTATATATTGATATTACCACACTATACCATATGGTATTATGTGGTAACGAAATATATATTGATATTACCACACTATATCATATGGTATTGGGTGGTAACGAAATATATATTGATATTACCACACTATACCATATGGTATTGGGTGGTAACGAAATATATATTGATATTACCACACTATACTATATGGTATTGGGTGGTAACGAAATATATATTGATATTACCACACTATACCATATGGTATTGGGTGGTAACGTAATATATATTGATGTGACAAATTTTTTCATACCATATGGTATGGTCAATACCAGTTATTACCATATGGTATAGACTGGTAATTACTGACAAATTTTTTTATGTCTGAAAAATATCAAAGTGGATATCATTTTGAAGAGCACAATTAATCTGATCTAACTGTGCAAAAAAAATTAAATTCCGACTTAAAACGAGTGAGAAATCGTCCGTTAAAGATTAAGAGAAGGAAAATTAAGGGTTGTTTGAGGAGAGAGAAGGCGCTGATATCTGGTCAGCGCGTCAGAGACATCATTAAATAGGGGGTGCATTTTTACCTTAGTGCCCCTCCGTGTTTAATTTAAATAAAAAGAAAAAGCTGACACGTGGGGACACATGATTGGATTACTGATAGTAAGGATACTGACCTGATCTGGTCCCTTTTATATATAAATAAATAGAAACGAAATTGGCAACTTGATACAAGGGGGAAAGTAAACAGACGCAGACATAGCGCAGAAATTTTTCTCCATGGTAAAACTCCAGATCCACCGCCCCCGCCACTGCCGGCGATATGTCGTTTTCCATCTTCTTCCCGCCGTTCTTCTCGCTCGGTCCGGATGATGACGAATCTGCCTCCTCCGAGGAAGTCTGCGGCGAATGGGCATCCGATGATGATGGGAATCTGTCAGAAGATAAGTTTTCCGAGGTGTTTGGACGACCACCGGAAAGGCGTGAGTGTGGCGGAGCTGGGTTCAGACTGTACGTGGGCACCGGGCCGTGCTGTCCACGGGCTAGCACGGCACGAGCACGAGCACGGATACGAAATAAATAGGTCAGCTCGGCACGAGCACGAAATAAATGGATTGTTGCTCTCATATTAAGATATTATTACTAAATTATTGTTTAGATTTGATTATCTTGTATTAGTAGGACATTTTCCGTTCCATATTTTGTCAAACCTTGCTAATGGTAATTTTGGCTTTTGGGAGAGCACTTCTACTATGCTATATAGTATTGGTGCTTTAATGTACAACTTGAAGTTGTACCATAACATTAAATGTATAAGTTTAGGTTGTACCATAAAGGAATTTGTATCATTATGTTATGGTACAACTTTACAACTTGAAGTTGTACCATCAGACAATGTACAAGTTTAAGTTGTACCATAAAAGAATTTGTACAAAAAGTATAGGTACAATCTAAAGTTGTACCATAACGTTAAATGTACAATTTCAAGTTGTACCATAAAAGCAAAAACCTATAGCACCAATACTATATAGCATTGTAAAATTCCTCCTTTTGGGAACCCTCTTTTGAGACTCTTGAGTGGAATTTTACATTGGTGTAGTAGGACTTTGCCTTTAGGTACAACTTAAAGTTGTACCTTTTAATGTTATATATTAGAATGGAAGCCCGCGCTTCGTCGAGGGGTTTGATTGTTTGTAACAAAGTGCTTTTTTAGTTCTAAGTACATGTTTCAGACTTGTAAACTATTTCAGTGATAAGAAATGCTATCATTGAACGACCGATAGTGTACCATTGTGATACGTCTGATAACCTCTTTCAGGTTGAACGTCTAAATCAAGTGTTTGTCATTTGAGTTTGCCTATTTGAACTTGTTTGGTGCTATGTTCTCTTGATCAACCGCGTGCTCTTCCCACTTTTGGATTCTAAAGTACTAATTTATAATTGAAATTGAAATCACAACATGAATCTATTGTTACAGGAATGAATCCTTCTATCCAAAAATTCCACGAATTGAGCTGAACAAGATGATATAAATGGTGAATACTGTGACTAATTTTGTTCTATCATCAGTTATCCCAAAATGAATGATATGATGAGCCTGTTAACTTCATCAGGAGCGTCCATATTCACTGCATGCCCTGCTTCTTTGACTATTGCCACTCTTGCTTTTGATCCCAAATGCCTGCCAAAAATATTTACCCTCTCAGTACCTAAACCTTCTTTCACCAAGGTGAAACTGTAAGTCTTGGCTGTTAAAGCCGAGTAGCCTAAGAATGAGAAGATGTTATTTCCTTACCTCTGCAGCTGGTAAGCCAGATTCATTGGAAACACATAATCCTTATTGCCCCATATCAGAAGCGTCTCCTGAAAACCAGAAACATTAGTTCGCGATTCAGGATAAAACCGAAAATTTTCAATTTAGGGTGTGATAATGGATGTTGTCGTTCTCGTATTAGTATTAGGCCGTCCCCTTGAGGTCAGTTTCGCTTCAGTTAGCAACTTCCAGAAAGCAATTTGTTCAACATACACATACACTTAATAAGTTAATATAACCTCTCGGACCAAACCTCGAGCGGATGGTAGCCCCTCCTAAACTACACCTCGATTTGGTGAAACAAACCTGAGTCAGAACAGGAAGGCTTCTTCCTGCACCAGAGCTCTTGGCCAACAAGTGATCCACCAGCTCCATCTTCTCCTTCTTGTGACCTATTTCCTAGAATGGGACAAAATAAAACACACAAGGAAACCAATCAGCCTCAGAACTGTAATTGGTAATCAAAACCTGATACACATAGTTACCAATTACTTCTCAGAAACAGAGAGCTGACAAAAACAAAAAAAAAAAAATTGAAAAACCCTCTCACATTGACATAGTCCTGAAGGAAAGAATCAGGAATCAGCTTCATGTAACCGCTCCTGTAAACGGACTTTAACATGAGCTGCCTCAGGTCATCCGTAGTCCGAGGGACGAGCAACAGTTTCGGATCCCTGCCGAGCTTCGCCACCAATTCGTCCTTCTGGTCGTCGTTGCACCCGACTCCGGTGCTCATGAGCACAACCTTGTCGACTCTGTCAGGAATCATGTCAGCTAAGTGATACCCAACATACCCTCCGTAGCTGATCCCGTAGATCGAGAACCTGTCGACTCCGAGCCTCCTCAGCCCTTCCGCCAGGCACTCTGCTTGGAAGACTTCCGACCTTTCCTTTCTGGCGGTGTAGGACTTGCCGAAGAAGAGCAGATCCGGGATGTAGAGGTCGAATCGCCGCGACAGGTGACCGACCTGAAGGGGGGTTTTGCACAATCACACACATTAGGTGATCGTTGCTGTCGTAAGCGGACAATATCGTATTAATTAAGCAGCCCGATCGATTTCGACAATTGGTAAATTGATTTGGTTTCAACCTGATACATGAACTGCCAGCGGGAGTCCCCGCACTTGCCGTGGATCATGACCAGGCTAGGCCGGAAATTGCGAGCGGCGGTAGCCCAGAAATGAAGGGTGGTCGTGTCGTCTACGTCGATTGAGACAGGGGAGAGGCCGCAGAGGCGGAAGTAGAGGGAAATGCAGGCGTCGGAGAGGGCGAATGCGGATGGGATTTGCTTGAAACGGTGGAAGCTTGCGAGGAAGAAGCGGATGATGGATAGGATGGATGAGATGTAGAATGTGAAAGAGCGGAGGAGGAGGTCGAGCTTTGGATCCATTGATTATTTTTTTTTTTTTTTGCTCTCTGGATTTTGGATGTGTGGGAAGTCTCGTTTTTTATTTTGGGGGGTATGTAATATAATGGGTGTGATTGGAAAGAGTGTCCAGAGAAGAGAACAAATGAAGTGAAAGTTGATCGAAATTGTGTGTGTGAGGAAAATTTATGGGTGTTGGGATGAATGATCCGTAGGGTTGTCGCTGTCCTTCCTTAGCTGGGTTTGTGGAGTGGAGGCGGGACAAAAGAGATGATGATGTCTTCGAGCGCCCGACACCACTTGTAACTTGTAAGGTGATTTAAATCCTTTTTTTTTTTTTACTTATCGCGTATTTCGAAATCTTTAAGGATGGTTTTGACTTTTGAGAATGAGATTTGAAGTATGGATTAAGAGAATTCGGAGATTTTAACCCAAAAAAAAAAGACATTTTTATAGTTAGGTGTTAGTTAAAGGGGAATTTGATTTAGGACTTATAGGTTTAAGGCGTTCAAGGTCAATGATATTGTCACTGGACTAATAAGTGTCTAAGTTTATGTTCACTTTTACTATGATACATTTGAGGTGGAGAGATTTCAATTCTCTCGTAAATGTAGAGATTTTATATCTAAACTTATGTGATATTTTTTATTTGCAGCTATATCCCTTTGCTTTTTTATTTGTTCCGCCAACTACCGTTACCAAGTACCAACATCAACATTTTCTTCTATTTGGCAGCCTTATTGGTTAGGGGATGAACATACAATTTGATGCAAAAATAGAATCACTAACTCTCGCGCGTTAAATATCAACAATCACAACTGGCAAACAATTAACTTTTTAACCTTTTATTTTCGACAATTCGGAGAGTTAGAATCTTTGGATTGAACATACAGCTTAATTAGCACCAAAAAAAAATCAAGCCAGCCTGAAAGTGTGGTGAGCTAATTATTAAGGCGAGCCTATCCCAAACGTTTTCTAACGAACGAAAGTCGTCCTGATCAATGAGCTCTTCCCAATCCGAATACCGTGCGAGCAATCAGATTCTGGAGGCAGCCTGCCTGGATAAGCAACGCCGTGGTCCCTTGCTCCAGAAGAGAAGAGAAGAGAAGAGAAGAGAAAATGGATAAGCAGCCTGCAGCCTGGATATCTCGTCCCTAGCTTCTCCCCATTCTTCATCATTGCTGCTGCAATCTACTCTACGGCTCTCTCTACCCATGCTGGCCGGGTTTGTGGCAAGGTTCATGTATATTAACAGACGTGTACGTGTAAATTAATACAGTAATAATTAAGAAACAAGAGTTTTTCCAACGCTGTCGAGCCCATCATCTATTCTAGCCACTGCCAAAAAAACAGCTGAAGTGACAATTTAAAATTCAGTCAAATTGTCATTAAAAGGTAGAAAAATGTCACAATAGTGTTGTACTGACGTTTTACGCAAATGACACATAAATGTCGCATAATCCAGTGTCACTAACTTCTTTTGTGACATTTGTTACAATTGTCAGTACCACTTTTGTGTGACGTTTATTTTTACATATTGCGACACTTATAATCGCAGCATAATAACATCTTTATTTGTGACATTTTAAAGCGCCGTAAGTGATGCAAATAGTGACATTTCTAGAGACATATCAAACTGTTATAGTTAATACCAATAGTGACATATCTTGTGACATTTCAATATGCCATAGCCCATCTCAATAGTGACATTTATAAGGACATGTTAATATGTCACGATTGATACAAATAGTGACATTTCTCGAGACATTCATAATTGCCACAGTAGATCCCAATAGTGACATTTCTAAGGACATATCAAAGTGTCATAGTAAAAACATATTGTGACATTTCTCAGGACATTCCAAAGTGTCATGGTTGACTAAATGTGACATGTTCCAGTAATTAGAGTGACCAAAATTTATATTAAAATTTTCTAGTGACTAAACATGACATGATTTAGTAATCTCGGTGACTAAATGTGGCATTTACTTTTTTTTTTATATTTCGGAAGGAAGAAAAAAAAAAACTAAACCAGAGTGTTAAATGTTAACTAGATTGCGCATGCAAGAAGTCGATCAGTTTTCAGTCTTATTCTTACATAATACACAGTTCGAAGTAATTTCATCTGTCGTCTTTTGGTTGGTCATACACATCCAACTGGGCACAAAGTAATTAAGGTACGTACATCGATCCAGCTTCTTGGAAAGTAATTAACTTAATCAATTAGGTCTTACCTATAATCATCATCGTAATTATAGCTAATCCACCACTTATCAATTACGATTTTGCCGAAGAAACAAACCATGTTATCAATCTGTTCACTTCGTCCGGCGAATCTATGTTCGCGCCATGCCCAGTGTCCTTCAGTACTTCCACTCTTGCTGTTGCTCCCAAATAGCTGCAAATAAAATAAAACGCAACATTTTAGTACAAATTAATACTCGTTTGTTAACTTTTACGTAGTACAGGGAGCAAAATGGAAGTGAGAGATAAATACAAGTACCTTTGAAGTTGGTAGGCGAAATGCAATGGGAAAACATTATCCTTCTCACCCCATAACAGCAAAGTTTCCTTTTACCCCATAGAGAATTCAAAAGAATATGTTAGTTAATCGATTAGTGGGGTAAAAAAACATAAATTAAAAGAAATTAAAATCTTGCAAATTAATTAACAATTGGTGGGAAAACTTTAATTTAATTACCTGAGTTATACGGGCTGGTTTTGCATTTGCTTTCTTCATCAAGTGATCCACCAACTCTAGTTTCTCCTTCTTGTGATTGTTACTTATTCCCTTCAAATCAGTTGCCACGTCATGTAAAATATTATTCTTTTATTTACAATAAAAAAAAAAGACAAGTAAAATTCAACTTTTCGGTTACTGCACTAATTATCTTTCTTGTGGTAAATAATACTTCCCTCATCGATATTAGTCGTCATCTTTTTCATAGACCTTTTTCAAGAAATTTTTTATAAAATGTTAGGTTTGAAATATTTGACTTTTCTGCAAGGGCCGGCAGTGACGAACTTATTGGACTTGTTCTGTCACCCTCTCCCATAAGGTGAATTGTAGAAAACATAATCTAGAATAAGTTAAACATATCTTAACCCCCCATTTGAGTTAATATTACTATTGACTTGATATAATTAGTCACCCTTGGTGATCACGTGAACTGTAGAAATAGACAGATGACTAATTAACCTTCTTAAGAAAGACCTTTTCTCTACGTAAATTTCACATGCATGCAACTAATTAAGTTGCATGAAGAATGAAAGGGGTAGGGGTAGGGTACGCACGTAAGTGAGTTTGTTATTAAGAATTCTAATCTTGAACATGCAAGAGATATGACCAAATAAGTAATGAAAAGCTCTTAATCATGCCAACAAAAAAAGGAAAAAATTAAATTTCCACGTCACAAATAATTGTGGAAAAGAACAATTAGTGTTATCCTTCAATTTCATGACTAAAATAATATACTGTATTATGCGATTAGTGTTTTTTTCACCTTGATGAAGCCTTGGAGCACAAAATCGGGCGCCAAGTTGTACCGACGCGACTTGTACAAAGCCAACTTGATCATCTTCCTCACATCCCCAGGCTTCTTGGGCAGCAGCAGATCCCGAATCCCTTCCCCACCAATCCTCCGCATCTGCTCCTCCTTCTGCTCCTCCGTATAATGAATCCCCGAGCTAATGATCACCACCTTCTCCACCGCCGCCACGTCGACCTCCGCCATCCGGTACGCCACGTACCCGCCGTAGCTCAGCCCCACCACGCTGTACCTCTCCAGCCCGAGCTTCCTCAGCCCCGCCGCCACGCAGCCGGCCTGGAACTCGATCGACCGGTCGGGATTCTCGGAGTAGGACCGGCCGAAGAAGAGCAGGTCGGGGACGTAGAGGTTGAAGTGCTTGGAGAGGTGGCGGACTTGGTAGTAGAACTGCCACCGCGAGTTGGCGCCGAAGCCGTGGATCAGGACGAGGGCCGGACGGGTCGACTTCCGGTGGCCGGGGATCCAGAAGTGGACGGTGGTCGCGGCGGAGGAGGAGTCGGCGTCGAGGTCGACGGTGCACGGGAGCATGCTGCAGGAGGCGAAGTAGAGGGAGAAGAGGGTGTCGGCGACGGCGGTGAAGAATTTGAATGTGGTGTCGCGGAGGCGGACGGCGGCGGCGAGGAGGGATCGGAGGGCTAGCTTGAGGAGGTTGTGATATGGTTCCATGGTTTTTTTGTTTTCTTTAATTGTATTGTTTTGTTATTGTTTTTTGTGTTTGTATATATAGGATATTGTACTTGAGAAAACTAATTCCAAAGGGCTATAGTTAGTCTAGAGATTGCATGCATTGGTTCATTTCCTAGCTATGTCGATCGTTTATTTGGTTTGTCTTTCCATTTCATGCAGAGGGTGCCTTAGCTTACGTATGAATATTGTGATAGAAAATAGGACGTGTTAAATTAACATATCTAATAACTCAATAAACCTAGCTAGCAGTAGCTTCAGTTTGTTTGTTTGGACATTAAGAGAGAACATTAGGAATAAACATTGGGCTAACAGGGAAAACGGATCCTATATACAAAATGGTCCAGACCAGGCAGTATATACGATATATGGTCCAGACCAAAAGGCTGAAGTATAGACTAGAGACCAGACCATGTACTATACGGTCCATACCATATCACGTCTGTGCGGTCTGGTCCGGTACCATCGGGTCCAGATAGATCATAATGAATGAAAAATAAACAATTTGTTTAGCCACCACATAAAAAATTGAATCAATAAACGAGAAAATTTTGTTTTTTTTTTTTTCTTAAAACATAAACTCCAACATGCATGAAGAATTTTGACACCCTAAATCTCAGTAAACAACAAAAATACAAAGTCAAAGCATCCCAACTTGCATCATAACATCAGGATCATTAACATAATGTCATATGTAGACACGGTCGTCTCTACTCTCTGGTGAAATATGATTCTGAAAGAAAGAGGGGACGAGGTTCTCAAAATTAGAGTTGAGACTTGGGCTTGTTGGGAGAATCAGGAGAGTGGTCGAGTGGGCTGCTAACACACATTGGGAAGTCCACCAGGTCCACTGTTTGGTCCGGTATACCGCGGTCTAGACCAGACCAAGTGATCAAAAATCATATAATACAGACCATGGATCAGACCAGACCATTCTTAACGGTCTATGGTGTGGACCAAATTATGCGATCCGGTTTGGTCGGTGATTTTTCAAACGGTCTAATATATTTTCCCCGCCCTACTTATGTGTGGAATATTTTGTTCGTTATATTTTAACCAAATTATCTTGATCCGGTCTAAACATGCTTGTGGTCAATTGTTAAAAGAAGTCATAGGATTTGATTGCCAGAGATGAGCCGAAGTTCCAATCAAGAAGGCAACTAAATTGGAAGAACGAAAGGTTTAGAATCAGCATGTGCAGGAAAACGAAGAAAAAATGGTGAACACCGAAGGATGAGTGTGTCATTCCACCGGCCATGAGTTTGAACTAATTAATTTTTAAAATTTTGATAAAAAAATCGTGGTGTTTTTATCGAAAATCAAATAATCCTCGTCCTGAATTTCAAATGGAGGTACCCGTCAGACTACAACTATTTAAGATTCGGTCTTATTAGTGTTGTCGTGGTATATGATCCACGATTGAACCTCTCCCAATAACTCGAGTTATTGGGATCAACTGGTTCTTGACATGGTATTAGAGCCTTCTGTGACACAATAGGTCTTGTGTTCGATTCCCGGTGACCCCCATTTGTTAAGCACATGATATTCTTATCTTCAAACCTGTGCAAACTTCAAGCCCTTATGAGTGGCTTTCGTTTGAGGGGGCGTGTTAGTGTAGGTCAGACTTCTTACGTTTGTTTTCACCAATTCATAATAAAAATTGGATTAACCTGTTTCGGTTCAACCGAATGGTCCCGTTTTGTAAGTAACCCACAAACATCACAATGATCCTATACCTTAAGCCCCTTCCCTCAGCAATTTAAAAGATCGAAAGTGATGACACAGCTAGTACACAACTTTACTTCAAACATACTAGTGCCTTTTCATTTCTCCAACGTTCTTCATTGTATGATCCCAAAATGAATAATTCCAACGGATACTTTACTTCTAACACAATCCAATCCCTTTCCCCATTCACTTCCTTTCTTGTAGACCCTTTTTTTCTCCAACTTTCTCAAAGTCCATCTTTTTGGACGGCTTAATTTGTCTACTTTTCCCCGTCAAATTGCCTTTAGATTCCTTCATTGTCTCCCTTCTTTACCATCATCCCCTTCTTATAAGAGAACCCATTTGCCTCCTTCCCCAAATTCCCCCTTAGAGTTAGCACTCCATCTCAAAGTTGGGTTTTCTTCCCCTTTTGAGAAAGGGAGAAAGAAAACGCCAACCAATCAAAACCACATTACATTCTCATCTCCTGGATAGAGAGATAGCAGAAAAGCAATGGCAAGTTCATATTGTCACCATGCTGCCCAAAACTCTTCATCCCAAAGAGGACTAGCCATGGTGTTAGCTCTGACGACGGCTGTCGTGCTATCGCCACTGTATACCAGCGGTAAGACTGACCATTCGTGGACGCGATTGCATCCCCATTACGAGCCCGGTTGGAGCTCTGGCTTGGTCCTCCCGATGGTCCTGGCAGGGTTGATAATCGCCATCAAGACAACATCATCGAGCAGCTCGACGGTTAATGGAGGTGGGAGGTCATTTGGGTCGTCGTTGGTTCCATCACCGGACCCTTCTTGGGTGCTCAGGATTGGGAGCTCGTCCTGGGGGCTTGCTGGGATATTGGTCATGCTCATGCTTGTGTTGTCTTGGCAAGAATCTGCTCAGCATTTCTTCTGGAGATAGTTAAAAAACGATAGAAATGTAACAATTATATATACTAGTTTTCTTACCCGCGCTCCGCGTCGGGATATGGGTAAAATTTGAGTTCTTTTGTTTGATTCATCCAAAAAGAATAACAATAAACTAAATAATTGATAACATTTCAATACTTAGTCTCCAAAACAAAAATAATTTTTTCCCGTTTTATTCTCCAGGTAACAGCAGCACACAGACACATTGAAAGTTAAGTAATCGCCAAGAAATAACCCAGCAGCATAATTAGTAGAAAAGGTTTACATGTTTTCAGTTTGCTAATTAATCAACATGTTTAAATCAACACCACTAAATCTATAAAAAAAAGTTCCGATCTACTATTGAATACTGTAAGAAACAACCCAGCAGCATAATTAATCAACATATTTAAATCAACACCACTAAATCAATAAGAAATAACCCAGCAGCATAATTTGTCCACAGTTCTCAAGGTAACGATGCAGCTTAGCAAGCAAACTGAATACTGCAAAATAGTTACAGCCAGCTCAGCAAGCAATTACAATCATAGTGGGAGATAATCAGCACAGTTTCTCGATAGAGTAAGTCTCCCTTACCAAAAAATACTCAAACCAATGAAGGCATTGTCTAGTTAGGGGATTCAATATAGATTATTACAAAACAAAAGCTCCCTCATAAACAAAATCCATCTGCATACATTAGTTGCAGATAACGTGAGAGAAGGAAACAAAAGCTAGAAACAGAGTAATATATATGATTAAGGTTCTGAGTCAAAACTAAACAAAAAGAGTACTTGACAAAAGTGAAGAACATCAATTCTTACTTTCCAAACAGGAAAACGTAGAAATGCAAGATATAGCTTGAAGATTTACCATAGACAGTGACAACAGATCATCACCATTCACTTGCCAAATCAATCCACTCACCAGTGGCTTAATCACCACAACTGAAATCAATGGGGAAGTATATCTCAGTTCATGAACAATGCTGAGCATTGAGTAACTATCAGGCATATCTAGTACTCTCTAACAGTTACCACTACCCATAAGAATATGATTGATTTATTTAAAAGGAAATAGATTACCCAAAACTTCTAGTCGATGGCTAGAGATCTTTCATTATGCAGAAGGACTATAAAAGTCTAGTGATGTCCAGGACTCAAGGGGATGAGAAAATTAGACGTAGTTCACGAACCCCTTAGAAATTAGATAGTTTCTCTTATTTTATACACCAAAGCACGAATCAAGTGATTAAGAAGAGCCCAACACCACAATTAATAATAACAAAAAAAAAACAAAAAAAGTAGAGAAGAATCATTATACCATGGAGTTACCAAACGACTTAAGTAAATAATCAGAAAACAACTATCTTCCCTACCTTCAAATCTACAATCGACTCCTATTATTCAGTCATCGTGATTCCCGGTACCACCTTCTAGAAGGTGGTAAAGGAGACTGCAAATAAAACACCAAACCGAGAGATTAAAAGAAGAGAAACAAAGGACATCATAAGAGAGGGAACAAATCTTAAAAACAAAAACTCACCTATTATTTAACAGCACCCAGAGCTGTATCCACCGGAGTAAAGAAGCAACTGTTGCAAATTATGGGCATCACTCCAGTCAAAATATAGGCCTCGAAGATGTTTATAAGAGTTTGACTTACGACCTTCGACGATGACCTCGTGGCTCGCATCTGTGTATACAAATTCATTTAGAGGAAGAAAGAGGGAAAAACGAATTCAGACAGATATAACACAGTGGAGAGTGGAGACACGGAAGAAAAAATCACCTGCAATCTAAATGAACAAAGTATCCGAATCCAAGAATTGTCGGAGCTTTCTCTAGAGCTATGTAGCCTGCCAAATGATTGCTCCAAACTCCGGAGGGCTCCAAGAAAGAGATGAGACATGAAAAAGAACCACAAAGAGGTGGAGTAATAAATCAGGGCTTATCAACAACTCAGATGACTGAGATGAGTATACTGTATACCAAACCTAAAACACAAAGAAACAAAGAAAAAGAGAAAGAAGATGACCTAATATTACACAAAAACATCAGCGATCTTTCATATCTCCATAGCCTGCGTGTTTTTCCAATCTATTCAAGTCTTTGAGTCATTCCTTTATCGGAGAGGCCAAAGACTATGAATAAACCTGTAAAGCTAAAACGAACATTTTGAGAAGAAAGAGAGTGCGAACCCACTTGAGAACAGATAAACAAATCCATCTGAAGAGGGGGAATAATCCCCCGAAAAAACAAAATTCCCACCGTGCTTACCTCATCTATCGTACGATGGTCGTAGCATCAACGCTGGAGTTGCAAACTCCTGGAATCCCCTTTTGATCTGCATACAACCATCCACTTGAATCCGCTTTTCAGCTTCTCACCATAGACGTAGTTAACGACAAGATACCACGCCCTACTGGAGAGTTCTGACCGAACTTGACGATTTCCTCTATGATCCCGTTGATCGCAGGGAGGAATCTGAAAGTGAGATGGGTGAGGGATACCAGAAAGAGCGAAAAGAAACGGGATGGGCAAAAGAAAAAGTGAGAGGGAAATGAGGGGTAGGTAGAATATGTGGTGGAGAAAAAGAGTTGTTGTGATTTTTTGTCTTCCACCTGATACCTCCACCCACTGACACACTCCATCCTCTCTCTGCAAGGAAATATGGTTGGGTTCCAACTTCCAACTCGCATAGATAACTGAGCCTCAATCCAAAGTAACCAAACGAAACCGAAAGAAAGCTGGCAGATACATCCCATCAACATTCCAAGAGTGCTTCTTGGCCTTACCGGGTCTATGCCGTCGATTTGTGACCAACGCGATTTTCCTCGCAAAGTGTTTCATGTCAGACCCAACCCACAGTCTCGACGATAGTTCAAAGGGAGAGGAAAGGAAATCTGGACCCACATCAAAGCAACACCCAATAAGAACTCGATGAATAATAATTTTGAGTCACAATGAACAGGAAAAGCAGTCTAGATGTACAGTAATTGTTGTTTTGAGCTATTATACTTTTAATTTTGGATCATGTCAATTAGTTTCTATCCTGATATTACAAGCTATGTTATCATATTTATGTGCTATTGAGTTGGGAGCTTGTACGCGCAATTGAAGTTGTTAATTTAGTTCATGTCCAAGTTTCAAGTCTCGAAATTTGGGTTCGAATCAGGTGCTAACGAGATAAGCATCATGTCATAGAGATGAAGTAAGGCAGACAGATTGACAATGTTTAGTTTTAGCGTTTAATTAATAGAAACGATCAAGCACCAAGAGAAATTGATGAGCATCTGTTCACAAAATATGATGCATTTCCTTTACCACTGCTTTGAGATCAACCACCGAAAAGAAGCATGTATGCTGTTTAATTGTCAAGGCTAAAGTTAAAACTCAGTAGTCAGTATTATTATACCATACGTCAACAATTACATACATATACCTCACCCATATACACTAACTAGTTGAAAAAAAAATTTACAAACACTCATCATCTTCAGATCTTCCAACGGGACCAAAAGCTAGTCAAAGATCGGTGGCAGAGAAACCCTCTTCCGTGTCAACAGCATCTCGACAGTCGGACATTTCCTCTTCACCCCACCTCTAGGTCTAGATCGGAACTGCTCGTCGGATTCCTGAAAATCACCCTGCGAACCCAACCAAAGAGGACCGAGCAATCAGGCTCGTTTCGTTTCCCAGGGATTACAGACAGGCAACACAAGGCAAATGAGAGACAGAATCATAGAAAGGAGTAGCACCAGGGCGGAACTTACGCAAGAGTAGACATGGCACCCGGATTTCTCGTGATTATCACGAACATGTTTGTAGGAGAATCTCTTGCCGCAGCCAGGGAAACTGCAGCCATAAGGCTTGACGTGAAGATGGACAGCCTTAACATGCTGGTTGAGATTTGTTTTCTGGTTAGAGCAAAACAGATTAAGTTTGAGGAGGGAGCCCAAAGGCTACGAGGGGAATGAACCTGCTCTGATGTATGAAAATGATTGCTTACAGATGAAAACGTGAGGCTACAGCCATCATGGTGACACGCAACCCGCTCTGTAGTCTCGCTGCCTGCTTCATGGGTTCTCAGATGTCTCTTGCTGTTCTTCCTTAGTTGTTTCGAACCACAAATCACACAATTCATGTACCTGTGGGCTGTCTGAATGTGGGCTCTCAGGCATTTTTCATTGGAGAAATGCTTGTTGCAGCCCAGTTCTAAGCACATGGCTTCAACGGAATCTAGCTTCACTGCATAATAAGAATGAAATGCAACCATTGTTAGAAGTGAAACCAATGTATTGAAGATAGTGACAGAAAATTGATGTCAAAACAAAAGGATACTTGCCATGAGAATATTGATGCTTTTGAAGCTTTGATGGAAATTTGAAGGCCTTCCCACAACCAGGCTCCTTGCAAACACATTGTTTTTCCCCTCCGGTATCATTGGATGATTCAATGTGCATACCTTCAACATGCCTCTTCACATTGCCTTGATACATGAACTCCTTGCTGCAACTCTCAATAGGACACTTAAAAAGCTTCCCTTCGTGCTTAAGGGAATGCCGAATCAGATGATCTTTTCTCCGGTAACTTGAATGACAATCATCCACCGTACACCTAAATGGCCTCTACAGAAAAGGGGGGGGAAAACAGATGCCAACCAGTCACTACCAGACTCCGAAGCTACGGGAAATCACCAGAACAATAATGAAAAAGCTTCTCAACACAAGGTTATAAAAAAACAAACAATGCAATAACCACTCTCAAACCTCGGTATATCCAGAGCGTGATTTGAGGCTTTCGCCTTGATGGAGCTTCTCAGGAGGTCTCCCACCCTGATACTAGTCCAACAAAGTCGGCTCTAGCATTTTGGAGTTCTGTAATATGGGATCCAATGCTTTCACGCCGCAACAATCAGGTCGTCTTAATTACTTAAAACAACAGAGCATAAATTTCCTGCAACAACCATTCAAATCTCAAAATCCAGCTTATTTAAAATGCTATAGCAGCTAAACAACAAGAAGCTCAAAGATTCAAACGCCACCTGGAACCACATACGTCAAGATTCGATATTCATCAACAACAATTCTTCACACATCAATTTCAACAATTCAACAATGGATCAACTTTTTTTTTTTTTTACCTCAAGCGAGTGACTCCTTAGATGCTGTTTCAGATACGCCGGCTTCCTGAAACTAGCACCGCATTCTTCACAAGTATTGGATTTGTCCTCTTTCCCTTCTCCGTCTCCATCATTCTCGCTCATCTCTTCCTGAAAACACGAATCGAACAAATTCGATCAGATTACTATACCACCCAATCGAATAGAGAGACAAACTGGTTCGAATCACCAGCTGGAGAAAAGCTACCTTGTGATGCGAAAGGACGTGACACGCTATGAGAGCCTTCTTGGATCGGCAAATTCCGCAGTATTTGCAGAAGTATCGTCGGATGTCTCTAGATTTCGGTGCTTCTTCTCCTTCTCCAGTCTCTTCTTCCACCTCTTCTTCTTCCAACTCATCTTCTACTACTTCCATCTGTTCTTCCATATCTTTCTCCGTCGTTTCAACAGCTTCTGCTTCTCCTGCCATTTTCCGGAGCTCCGCCGCGGCGAGAGGGAAGTCAGAAGACGAGGAATTTGCTTAATTGTACTCTGCAGCTGCTGAGGGAAGTCTAGGGTTTTGGCGAGTTTCTTTTCGTTTCGTTATAGAGTGGGAGTAATTCAGTAATTGGGTTGTTGGAGCCCGCCATTTTCATCCAGTGGAAAGCCTATATAGTTTCTGTAGAGCCCATGGCAAAGGAAAGCCCAATAGTGCAATCGAAGGCCCAAGAACACAACTCTTGTTCTCCTGCTTATTTTTCCTTTCCCTCTCCTTTTTATTGCCAGTGTCCTTTCTTCTTCTTCCGATTCGTTCCGCCGGAGCTAAGTTGTTCAGTAACTCGCCGGATTCCGCCCCTGACTCTTGCTAGCTCGCTCCCCCGGCGCCATCTCCGATGTAAGTATTCCCTGAATCCCAGTCGCTTCAAGCAATTCCAGAATCCTAATGTAGGTCTGCTCCCTTCCTCGTGAAAAGCAAAGGTCTGAAATTGGAAATTGTACGAAGAGCTACTCGACTGCAACTTCGGAATCCTTTCGGGAAAATTGAACGATTCATGGCTCTCTCTGCTGGATTTTCCATTTCTTAGACTAAAGTACACGATCTTTATGCTCAATCCAGCTTCCCATTCGTTCTTATAATGTCGAAAACGTGCCCATAAGGAGGATTTGGAAATTTTGTATAAGGAGTTCTTAGGGTTTGTAGAAAATTTCCCTCTTTGCTAAGGATGGGAAATTTTTGTTAACATATGGGTTTTTCTCAGTGACGAGAAAATGGCCGAGGGAGATGAGGAGATGCCGAGAGATGCAAAGATAGTGAAGTCGCTGCTGAAATCAATGGGAGTTGAGGACTACGAGCCCCGTGTTATCCACCAGTTTCTGGAGCTGTGGTATCGTTACGTCGTCGATGTGTTGACGGATGCTCAGGTTTACTCGGAGCATGCTGGGAAAGCTGCGATCGACACTGATGATGTCAAGCTTGCTGTTCAGTCCAAAGTCAACTTCAGCTTCTCACAACCCCCACCAAGAGAGGTATTGGATCAATGAAACCTACTTTAAGCTAGTACGACCATATTATTTGAGTTCATAGCAGCTTATGCATATACTCATACATGGTCATATCGATCTCATGATGCTTTTAACTAGAAGTTAACGGGTAGTGGAAGTCTATAAAATTTAGTAGACAAGTTGCTAGATAGCCAAAAACTTTGCCAAGCGATAGAAGCTTTGCCTGCAACTTCTTCTAGTAACTCTTTTGTCGATTTCATCGTCTTTCTCTGAGATTATGCATTCCAAACTTAGCCCTCACTGATTCATAACTGCACCTGGATTCGTTGTGTGTAGATTGGTGTTACTCGTATGGCCATGTCTTTCCTCGTATGGCTATGTCTTTCCTTGTTGGATTTAAGATTCTCGACACATGGTGAACACTTCCCTTTGCTATAAACCTAGATAGTAATCTCTGCTCTCTGGGGTCAATCACATTACATTAATTAAGTCCGGCCACCGATTTGTTAGCGTATGTAATTGACCCATTATCTTCCCTCTCTTTATGGGAATGTAAAGACCAGTTTCCACTTTCCAGACTCTTGAGAGCCTTTTTCATCTCATCAGGTTTTGCTGGAGTTGGCAAGGAATAGAAACAAGGTCCCATTGCCCAAGACTGCCCCAGGTCCCGGCGTTCCTCTCCCACCTGAGCAGGACACACTGATCAGCTCCAACTATCAATTAGCTTTCCCGAAGAGACAGCTTCCGCAAGTAGAAGAGACGGACGAAGATGAAGAAATGCCTGATCAGAATCCTTCTTCGCAGGAACCAAGTACTGGTGCGCCTCAGCAACAGCAAACCCCTCAACGAGTCTCATTCCCTCTTACCAAACTAACCAAGTGATAGACAGGGTAGGATAGTAAAGATCTTGTTCGCGATCAATCCTGTGCCTGTACTCACAGTTGTAAGTTGTAAGATACAGGCTAGAGCCTTGAGACTTATGCTTACTACATTAAGCGATTTGTAACTAGACGGGCGCTTCTTTCCAGTTCTAGACTGTTTAGATTCTTATTCTTACCCTTGAATGTTCAGTGTTGTGAGTGTTACAGATAAAGAGCAACTGCTGTTAACAAATCAGTTAGTTTGGTTAGCATTCTGTTACTACTGTAACTCAATCGCCGGATCAATACTGTAACATGTAACTAGTGAGATATGCTTACAGAACAGTGATCTTTCATTTAATGAGGGGAACTTGGAAACACAGCCGCGGCCAATTTCCACAACCAGTTTTGACCAATTTCCCCCATTTTTTACCGTATAATTATATTACAACAACTGTTCTTCTACAACCAAACATGTATTTACAAGGAAATAAACCAATTGTTACTATGAACGCTATTCATTCATTCATTTGGATCCAAATGAAGTAGTGGTATCATCAACTTCTCCATCCAGTAGTAGTTGTTGGCGCTGTGCTCGATGAAACGCTGCTCGTGGTCGTCAAGCCCCTGTCGTACATCCGCTGTATCTCTTCCCTGTACTCGGTCAGGGACTTGTCAGGAATGGTGGGGCTTAGCTCCACAACATCCCCCATCTTTAGCTTGCAGGTAGGATCACTCACTGGCTCGTGGTTGAGCTTCGGCCGCAGCTCTTCTTTGGCTGGGAAGCCATATGGTGACCATCTCGTGCTGCCTTGTCCAGCTCTCTCGAGCAGGTCCACGACAGAGGAGTTTGCTGGGAGCTCCTGCACCGACATCTGCAGTTCAGAAGAAACCCAATTGGCATTGTCATTTTTACAGGGAAAAGATGGAGAGTGAAGCCATGAAATAGGAGAGCAGAAAATTTTGCTAGCCGAACCTTATCGTTCTCGATGATGATGATGAACACGGGTCCATCTTGACCGCAGAGAGGCTTGCAGGAATACCTGCAATCTTCTGAATGAACAGGGAAAGCACAGGGAGGCTTCACGGAATCAGCAGCGTAAGAGATCGATGAGGAACGATCTTTGTTCATTGTCTCGCACTGCCAAGTCACTACCCACCGAGCCCACTCGACCATCTGCAGGACGAACGAGGAATGCTTGCAGTCGCCTTCCTTGTACCTCCAGTGCGCGGCAAACCCAAACTCAGCCTGCAAATGCATCTCTTTTGTTCGGATCTGGACCTCTAGTGGGACCTCATCATCGCCTGTGACCACAGTGTGAAGAGACTGGTACCTGATGAAAACACGATAACTCGTTTACTTACAAGAGACTAAATTCACAGATGAAAGTTATGAACTGAGAGAGAAGAAGGTAGATTACCCATTGAACTTGGGTTGGCTTATGTAATCCTTGAACTTCCCAGGTATTTCAGGCCACAACTCATGGACGATTCTCAGTGCTCTGTAGCAGTCTTCCTTGTTTTCAAGGATCAAACGGAGGCCATGGATATCATGGATCTCATCCATCTTCAGCTTTTTCCTGAAGAAACATGAGGTGCAGGGTCAGAAACAGAATCAAAACGTTAATTAACTACAAACATCGTAAGAACGATAGTAACTTTTGAAGATTTGTATAGATCCGTACAAGGCTTGTTTCCCTTCTCGGATTGTAAAATCACAAATTTAAAATCAGGCCTTTAAGGACGTGACACCAGCTAGACTAAACTCACAAATGGTGAAACATCACCAGCACATTGTTCCTCTCCTTTCACATCTTCCTAATAAATCCATGTGATTACTACATCCTACAAAGGTTCTAACAGGATAAGATGGTTTGCTGGTCCAGGGCAAAACTTATGGAAAGTGGTACTCTGATCCAAGGACTTCATCAAGAAGTACATCAACAGTGGTCCAATTTAACACTTGATACGCTACTCTCAACTATATGACAGGGGAAGAGAGAGCTCAGCTTACTTCAACATCTTGCGATAAATGCTGTACAAACTCTTATGTCTCCCAGAGAGCACGTGGTAACATATGGCTTCATCCTTCAGCGCTCGATCCAGTTTATCTGTTGCAGCAGTAATCACTGCCTCGTCAAAAGATTTCACCAGCTGAGAAGACAAATCTTTATGCTGATCAGGGTTCAGATGCTTGAAGCACAAGTTTTCCAGCTGGTCCTTCCACGAAGAGATCCCTAATCGATTGGCCAAAGGAGCAAATATCTCGAGAGTCTCCTTGGCAAACCTCTGCTGCTTGGCCAATGACAGAGCATCCAGCGTCATCATGTTGTGCAATCGATCAGCTAGTTTTATCAGCACGGCTCTGGCATCCGCCATTGCCAGAAACATTGTATGCAGACGATCTGCCTCAACAGTTCTGCTGGCTGTGTTGTTCTCTCGTGCTAGCTGGCTCAAATGGCTGAGTTTCGAGACCTGAGTAAATAATGATAAAGAACCATGTCAGCAATCGTAATTACTGCATTGAAATGCAACAGCGACACTACATTTTCCCTTCATTCTCAAGGTGGATTCAAACAAAAGAAGCTGAGATCGTTCCCTAAAGTACACTACTTACCAGTCAAAAATCATCATGTCAGATTCAAAAGGGCAGTAAAGGTATAAACTCAATGGCCGTCAGCAATAACATTAACATCAAACCCCCACAACAGTCACCAAACTCACTGAACAGTTCGAATGAGTTATCGTAAGTTACTGCCGTCTTACCCCTTCAACCAAATCAGCCACTCCAGCTCCAAACGTGCTGCAAATATGGTCATAGCTCAAGAATGAATCATCGATTGTATCATGTAAAAGCCCTGCAGCAACCATGGTGGGGCTAGCACCAATCTTTGCAAGCAAAACAGCGGTTTCCACACAATGCTGCAAGTAAGGATCACCACTCGCCCTCATCTACAAACAAACAATCAATCAAACCCAAAAAGAACAAACTTTATAAACTAGGAACACACCTCAAACCTCAACTTATACAAATGAAGTTGAAAGAACCTAAATTTCAACCCCCAATCGCCAATACCTGTCCTCTATGAGCCTTCTCCGCCTCGTGAAATGCCTTGATCACAAAGTCTTCTGTGAAGATCCTGTGCCTCATTTGAGCACCAAGCAACAATTCCTTTGCATAGGGCTCGTAATCAGGCTCCCCCACGAAGCTGTCCTCCATGTTAAACGTCAATTCATCAGCAGCCGGAGGAGCTGGAGATGGAGCTACTTCGAAGCTCGGTGAATCGTAGTCCACACAAGACCCCAATGCGTGGCTAACAAACCTATCGAACAGGCGATTCGCCCCATATCTAAACGAGCTATGAACCGAGCTCTGAAAGCATACATCGGCACCACGAGCTAACCTCGTCGGAGGACTGCTGGAACAAGAGACCGGAGCTTGCAGCACAGAAACCGGACTGTGATCCTTCCTCGCAGAAAATCCACCCCCTACGCCCGCGACGATGCATTTACTCGGGGAATAGCGAAACGAGCTGCTCAATTCCTTCAAATCGTCCCCTCTATCGTGCCACAGAGCGCCCAATTCCTCCCTGTCGCCCGAGAACGACGAGTGCTTTACCACGCTGGGAGAAGAGAACAGACACGTCAGCCCGCCGATTTGCGACTTGTGAGAGGAAGAGCCACTGGCGGAAGCGGAAGACGAGGATCTCGAATTCAGATCGAAGTCGTAGCTCGTGCTGCCGTTGATCGAGCATGGGTGCGGCGTCGAGCATATGGTGCTCGGCGGGCTCGCGTACAGAGCAATCGTCGGAACCGCCATGAATGAACACGGAGATCGGGAAAAAAACCAGAACCCAGATCAATTAACCGCTAAATCGACGAATTCCCACAACCAAAATGAACCCAATTGGATGAATTTTCAGATCGAGAAAACCCTCCCAAAATAAACAAAGGGGTTTCTTCGAATTTTTTGCCTAGAAAAGTTTAAAAAACCAAGCTTTGCTGTGAAATATATACAGAACAACCCTGTACAGACTTCTGTTCGACACTACACACACCCAATTGACTTGCAAATCTGAAAGCAAAGAACTGGGCAGCTTTGTTGGAGAAATGCAAGAGGGGAATCGTTTGAATGGTAATTTGTTTTCTTCTTCTGGGTTATTTTGAAGAAATGAGAAGGAAAGAGAGAAACAACGAGCAAATATAAATGTATAAAAAAAAAACAAAGAGAGCTCTGGGAAATTTGCAGCTTTCTTCTTGGTTCTTCTTCTGCTTGAAGTTTCTCTCTTTCTTTCTCAATCTGGTTTTATTTTCCTTTCCCTTTCATTTCTTCTCTGTCTGCGGATCTTTATTTCGCGTAGCGGCCAGGGACAGGGAGAGCGCTCAAAAGTACTTGATTACCCTCCTGTGCCAACTGAAATAACGCCTTTTACCCGCGGTTTGTCGGGTTTCGCTATTTTTTTCTGATTTTCGTTTCAATCTTATCTCTGTTTTGAGGAATAAACTTATAAATAAATTAGTTTTTGGAAATCAATCAGGTGGGGAAATGATAAACAACTAAGAATAATTAACAAATTGGTGATGACGCTGTTAGTGGTATTTGTTTGGCTAATTCAGCGGTTCAATTGCATACGCAAATATATCTTCTAATTATTATAATTATAACTATAGTGATTGGTACTTGTTGTCTCTAAATTTTTTATTTATTTAATTAAAAACTGGTAATACATTTAACTTAATATTATTTTCCTCAACCAAATACATAAAAAAAAGAATCTTAAACCAGATTGATGAAACTAGATTATGGAAGATAAGGTACTGCTCGACTCGTTGTACGTTTCATTATTTTAAATCTTAATACGTTGAGTTTATTTTTTATCTAAATAGTAATTATTCATACTCGTTATTATCATAGAAAATATACAAAAAAATTATTATCATAGAAAATATACAAAAAAATTATGGGATAAAATATCGAACATTACAAAAGGCTTACTATACGTAATACGTTACGTAGAAAAGAAAAAAACATGCATTGCTAATGCAATAATACATGCATACTTTACACTAAATTCTAGCACCAAATCATCCAAGCAATTACCAACCAACGTCTCTTTGTAGATCTCCACTAGCAATACCCATTGTGGGCTTCATTTGATTTTAGAAAATAGATGTTATTTTACCAACATATGTCCTTCGTTTCTAGAAGTCTAAAACCCACTCTCAGCCCATTAATATTTTCCAAAATTTGACAACAATCTTGGTCTACCTACGAATTAGTATATATCCAATCATTT